AGATGAGAACATTAGCACATTTCAATTTTCTACTCAAGATTTAAGAAAGTTTGCTTCTGAACTGAAACTGGTTAGCAGATACTGCCAGACAGCAGATACTGTCTGTCCTATGGCAATTATCACCTTTTGCTGACCTAGAAATGATCTTCCTCAGGTACTAGATGGTGAAGTTATAAGAGAAAGGAGCCTCAGTGAGTCACAAGCCTGCCTGTGCTTAGTCGTTAAGTTGTTTCCGACTCTGCAACCCCATGGACTGTAGCCCACCAGGTTCCTCTGTCTGTGGGATTCTCCAGGCAAGAATACTGGAGGTGGTTGCTGTTCCTTCTCCAGGGGAACTTCCCGACCCAGGGATTGAACCCTGGTCTCTTGCATTGCAGGCGGATTCTTTACCATCTGAGCCACCAAGGAAGCCCCTGAGTCACAGGAAACTGATCTAAATTAAGCTCTCAATTTCATCCTCTTTTTCAGCGACTAGTTTAGAGATAGTCATTTGACACAATTTGGCCAAAGGAATACAATGAAAAATCTGCTGAGGAGAAATAGTTCTGGAAAAGACTTTCCTGATGAAAAGAGAAAGATATACAAAAAGACTTTCTCTTTCAGTTCAGTTCAGTTCAGTCGCTCAGTCATGTCCGACTCTTTGCAACCCCGTGGACTGCAGCACGCCAGGCTTTCCTATCCATCACCAACTCCCGGAGCTTGCTCAAACTCATGTCCATCGAGGCGGTGATGCCATCCAACCATCTCATCCTCTGTCATCCCCTTTTCCTCCTACCTTCAGTCTTTCCCAGCATCAGGGTCTTTTCCAAGGAATCAGTTCTTCACATCAAGTGGCCAAAGTATTGGAGCTTCAGCTTCAACATCAGTTCTTCCAGTGAATCTTCAGGACTGATTTCCTTTAGGCTGGACTGGTTGGATCTCCTTGCAGTCCAAGGGACTCTCAAGAGTCTTCTCCAATACCACAGTTCAAAAGCATCAATTCTTTGGCACCCAGCTTACTTTATGATCCAACTCTCACATTCGTACATGACTACTGGAAAAACGATAACTTTGACCAGATGGACCTTTGTTGGCCAAGTAATGTCTCTGCTTTTAAATATAATGTCTAGGTTGGTCATAGCTTTTCTTCCAAGGAGCAAGTGTCTTTTAATTTCATGGCTGCAGTCACCATCTGCAGTGATTTTGGAGCCCAAGAAAAGAATCTGTCACTCTTTCCATTGTTTCTTCATTTATTTGCCATGAAGTGATGGAACCAGATGCCATGATCTTAATTTTTTGAATGTTGAGTTTTAAGCCAGGTTTTCCACTCTCCTCTTTTACTTTCATCAAGAGGCTCTTCATTTCCTCTTCGCTTTCTTCCATAAGGGTAGTGTCATCTGCATATCTGAAGTTATTGATATTTCCCCTAGCAATCTTGATTTCAGCTTGTGCTTCATCCAGTCCAGTGTTCCTCATGATGTACTCTGCATATAAGTCTAATAAGCAGAGTGACAATATACAGCCTTGACGTACTCCTTTCCTGATTTGGAACAAGTTGTTGTTCCATGTCCAGTTGTAACTGTTGCTTCTTGACCTGCATACAGATTTCTCAGGAGGCAGGTAAGTTGGTCAGACTGGTATTCCCATCTCTTTCAGAATTTTCCACAGTTTGTTGTGATCCACACAGTCAAAGGCTTTGATGTAGTCAATAAAGCAAAAGTATATGTTTTTCTGGAACTCTCTTGCTTTTTTGATGATCCAGCGGATATTGACAATTTGATATCTGGTTCCTCAGCCTTTTCTAAATCCAGCTTGAACATCTGGAAGTTAATGTTTCACACTGTTGAAGCCTGGCTTGGAGAATTTTGAGCATTACTTTATTAGCATATGAGATGAGTTTAATTGTGCGGTAGTTTGAACATTCTTTGTCATTGCCTTTCTTTGGGATTGGAATGAAAACTGACCTTTTCCAGTCCTGTGGCCATTGCTGAGTTTTCCAAATTTGCTGGCATATTGAGTGCAGCACTTTCACAGCAAAATCTTTTGGTGTTTGAAATACCTCAACTTGAATTCCATCACCTCCACTAACCTTGTGATCATGCTTCCTAAGGCCCACTTGACTTTGCACTCCAGGATGTCTGGCTCTAGGTGAGTGATCACACCATCATGGTTATCTGAGTCATGAAGATGTTTTTTGTATAGTTCTTCTGTGTATTCTTGCCATCTCTTCTTAATATCTTCTGCTTCTCTTAGGTCCATACCATTTCTGTCCTTTATTGTGCTCATCTTTGCATGAAATGTTCCCTCAGTATCTCTAATTTTCTTGAAGAGATCTCTAATCTTTCCCATTCTACTGTTTTCCTCTATTTCTTTCTTTCTCTTTGCTTCTTTATAAATTTTAAATATTGTTGTGCCAGAAAAATTCTACCACCAAAACATCTGAAAATAGTTTATCAACCATATTGCTACCCTAAATAAATATTCATACTGCTTTCATTCTTGAAGATTGTTTTGGGAAATAAATATCTTATTTTCTTTCTACTTTTGTCTTACCTTTATTCTACTTTGGTAATTTTTTCTAACTCTTTCTCCTTGGGACAGAGGAGAGAAATATCTATGTATTGTGTAGAATCATTGGATCCTTGGTGTAAACTACACTTGCATATATAATTAGGTTAAGAATACAGGTTCTGGATATAGATTGCCCATGTTTTAGTGAGGGAGGAAAGGAACAGGCTGAGCTGACTCCATCTTGAAAAAGATGGAAACTCCATCTTGCACTTTCAGTGAGCTTTCAACCATGTGCCTGGTAGCCACGGGGATAAGACACCTACAGCCAAACTGATCTCCCAGACTGATAAACACCAGATTCCATACCAAGATTTCCCATCGCCAAAAAGAATCTAATAATCCCCTATGTAGTCAATCACCTTTGTAATCTTCATGGCACCCATTGGTGTAGGCCACAGTGTATAATCAGCTGACCCTTCTGATTAGGAATCATGGCTGTAACCTGATAGAATCTCCCTTTAACACTTTCCAGGCTAGGTTCAAGGAATCTGGGGATACGGACTTGAGCAGTACACTTAAGGTTTTCACAAAAGTCGGCCAGGGTCGTGGCTAAGAGGAGACTCTGCCTTTGGCCCGCTGGCATAATAAACTGCACTCCACTATCTGTACTGTCCTTCTGAGTGAGTTTGTTTCCCGGAATGTGTGGCTACAACATTAGCACCAACTTTTTCATATGCTACCTCAACAATGACTCTGGGTAAATTACTCAGCCTCTCTATTCCTTGGTCTTCTCATGTTAAAAAAATGAGAATTAAAAGTATAAAGTAAAAATGTATCTGTCTCTCCCCTAACTTGAGTGCTCCTTGGTTTCAAGAAGAAAACATGGGGATGCCTATTGGTCAGTTTGTCTACAGAGATTTATGGAGGGTTTTCTCTGTGCCTTGTTCTGCCCTACTTACTACAGACACAGCTATGAGTAAGACAAAGTGGATACTTATAGTGATAGTGATTTTGTATGTTAGAGATCGTAAACTGTGAATAAACCTATGAACAAATACAAAGGAGGAAAACTTCAGATACTTAAAAATGTCATGAAAAAGATATACTTCAGAGATATGTAAATGAAACTCACCGAGTTCTGACAAGTGGGACTGTGAAATATGCTGGTCTTTGAGGAAGAAATTTGAAGCCTATGATGTTTGAGACCTGACAAATTAGAAGATCCAGTAAAATAGGAATCTCTGTCTTGTCTTTTCAGTCTTTTTATGCTCTTTTCTGATTAACAGATACTTTTAATTCCAGTCTAGTCAAATTTATCAATGTTTTCTCTGGTGGCTAATTTGTACATTGGTTTAAAAATCCCTCCCTTTCATCTTTTAAAAGCTTTATAGTTTTGCCTCTGACACTTAGGACTTGTAAACGCTAGGAATGGTTTTTTAGCATGCTTGAGCACCTACACGGTTACTCAATAGTACCAGAAGCATTTCCTGCAAAGCCCTTCCTTTCCCCACTGATCTTCCATACCGTGTCACTCGTATAGTAACTGTTTATAAAGTCATGAGTCAGCTTCCTTACTTTTCTTTCTTCAGTTTGTTTATTAGTGAATCCCTGGATAAAGACTACACTGTTTTACTTATTTGCACTTTATAGTACATTTTGTTGTAAAATCCTCTCACCTTGTACTTCATCCTTGTTAATGGTACTTGGTCTAGCCATTGCCCTTCATATTTTAGAATCAGTTTGTCAAGTTCTGCAGATACTCACACATTTCTGAGATATTGTAGGATATTTATTAGAATTACACTGAATATATTCATCAATTTGGAGAGACTAAATATTTGCCGTATTATGTCTCTCAATTCAAGAGCCTGATATATCTCATATCGTATATATGTATATTTAGTTACCATAGTGCCTCAATAATTTTTCTAATTGTCTCTTTATAGTTATGTATATCCTTTGTTAGATTTATTTCTAAGCATTTCAAATTCGTTATTTATGGTAGCATTTTATAAAATTTCATTTTAATTATGGATTACATTAATAAGTTAATTTATTATTCTTATTGCTTTATTTATATTTGGGAGGTAAATCTTCTTTAGGTTGAAAAGAGTTTTACCATTAATTGATGTTAAATTTTGCCAAACAATTTCTTCATTGTATATTTTGTTAATGTGACATTTTTTTTTAATTATTTGAATGTTAAACAATTATTGCCTTTTCAGGATAAAAACTTTATAATTTACTTTTACTTTTATGGATTTGTTTTACTAATATTTTCTTTAAGATATTTGCATTTGTACTCATGAATAGGATTAGACTGTGTTTTCTATTTCGTAACGTTTAACTCAGGGCTACTATCAAGAGCTTAAACAGTAAAGGTATTTATTTTCTCATTTTATAAGAATTCCAAAGATAAAGAGTACAGGGTTTGTTAAATTAAAGGACTCAAAAAGACATTCAAGGTCTCAGAGTCACGAGGACAGGCTCACCATACTTCAAACCATCTCTCACAACGATCTCTTCTTCTCCAGAAATCTCCTCAGGGCACCCTTCACCTCTGCATTCCTCAAACTGTAGATTAAGGGATTCAGCATAGGGTTGAAAAGGCTGTAAAACAATGACAGAATCTTCCTTTGTTCTTGAGAATGGCTGGACTTGGGGGCCAAGTACATGACGATGGCACTGCCAAAGAAGAGCCCGACCACACAGAGGTGGGAGGAGCAGGTGGAGAAGGCCTTTCTGCGGCCCTCACCTGACTGGATCCTCAGAATGGCGGCCAGGATGCGCGCATAGGAGAGCAGCACCAGGCCGAGGGGCCCGACCAAGACCAACACGGAGCCTACAAAGAGGACGATTTGGTTGAGCTTGATGTCGGCACAGGCCAATTTGAATACTGATATGATTTGACAGAAAAAGTGGTTTATTTTTTGTGGTCCACAGAAAGGTAGCCTCAGAATGAGAGAAATATGGACCAGAGCCAAGAGGAAGCTGAAAATCCAGCACGTGGCAGCCAGGACAGTGCACCCTCTCCAGCTCATGATGACCGAGTAATACAAGGGGTGGCAGATGGCCACATACCGATCGTAGGACATCACCACCAGACTCATACACTCTGTGACAGCAAATGCCAAATACAGAAAAGTCTGAAGTATACACGGAGCAAAAGAGATGGTTTTCTTCTGCATTATAAGATTGGCCAGCATCTTAGGGACAGTGCTTGAGGCATAGGATATGTCAATGATGGCCAGGTTTGAGAGGAAGAAGTACATGGGGGTGTGCAGTCTGGAGTCCAGGCAGATGAGCCCCAGGATGACCCTGTTCCCCATCAGTGTGAGGCTATAGAATAACAAGAAGAAGCCAAAGAGGAAAACTTCAAGTTGTGGGTCAACTTGGAATCCCAGCAGGATGACTTCTGAGATCCATGTCTGATTGCTTCCCATGCTCTTTTGACAGATAAATAAAATGCTGCACTTAGGACAGAAATTGTAGAGCTGAGGGGCAGAAAAGGAAAAAAGTTGATATGCTCATACAAAGTGAGAATTTATGCCAGAGGCCACAAATCAGTAATTCCTGGATCCAATCAGCCCAAAGTCCTGTGATATTGATTAGATAATTTGCCTTTTACTGATATTTTTAAAATTTTAGTTATTGACCAATTTTAAAAATTAGTAGATTTAGCATAAAAATTGGGATCTCTATCTTCTTTTCAAAAAATAAAATATTTGTCATTTTAAAAAATTCATTAGCTGAAGCTAATGAGAAGATAGTGGCAAATTGTTTCATTTATCACTATTTTCACTAATCTCTATTTTCTCACAGAAAATGAAGTTTAATGATGCTGAACAATTTTATCAGTATACTTAAACTATTGATTTATATTTTATTAAGGAGAAAGTAAATATTCATCCTGAAGATGAGTTCTTAGGTTCTCCTGTACTTCTAACACATGGAAATAAAATATAAAATGAACCCCCCCCCCAAATATACAACCAGAGTTTAAAGTGAGACAATTCTTCAATACAACAGAAATTATTCAGAAACATGATATGGTCCAAGTATGAAATCAGAGAATCATACTTGGAACTCACCTGGTATGTGGTCAGGACAGGTTTTGGGATATGGGGTACGAATATGGTTGATTGAAACTACAGGCTTTGATTGGGCCATAAAATGAGGTAAAAACAAAACAAAAATCACTGCTGTTGGGCTGCTAGATACAGTGATTCTAAGGAAGTCAATGTGCTTACTGGCTCTGTCATTAGATCACTAGTGCCTGAGACACTATTGTATAGGACCTGATTCTAGGTGAAGGGCCCATGAAGTCACCTGAAGAACAACAAAAACCACAAGAGAGGAAGAAAGAAAAGGTGGAAAGACCAAATCAAAATAAAAATACTAGCGAAAACAAAGACTTTTACTCAGTGTAACTAAAAACATACAAAAAAATCTCATGCTAAAGAGGAAAACAAAGTAAACGATTGGAACTTGATTTATTCAAGATGAAACTAAATTTATAGAAGAATCTTCATAAAATTTAATATAATTAAGGATGGTTAGGATGTTCCAACAGACTAATAAAGGGTATGCTACTTATTCAGATGTTTAATAAGTTAAGAAAAATAAATAAGGAAGTCAGGAAAACACAATCAGTGTATAAAAATAGGTCAACTGTGGACCTCTGAAGGAAGAAATATAGCCATACAATTTTTTAAAATCAATAAAGAAAATAATTTCCAGACCTAAGATCAAGGAGGGAAATAGAGTCTTGGGAGGTCACATTAAGAATCCACTCAGACTTGAATACAAACAGAGGGATAATATTTGAAAGTGGAGTTTACATACATGAATAATAGATTAGAGGCTATACTTAGAAAAGATAGTTTCCAGAGCAAAAAAGAATGAAAAAAATGGTGAAGAAATAGTATTTGAAGAGATTTCACCATAAACATTCCAGAATTAAAAATAGACCTAAGTCCTTAAACTGCAAATATTTATCACACTTAATGAGTGCAATACATAAACATAAATGTACACTCAAGCAATTTTTCATAACTGAAGATGATATAATCTTCAGATAAAAATGTACTCAGAGAACAGAATAGGATAAATGAAAAATAAATTCTCAAAAAAATGTAAATTCTTAACAATCATCTCTTTGACTATTGTCTTTTCTTCATTCTCTACATTTCACTGTGTATTGACCTTCTGGAATTAATCAATGTTGTAGTCAATCAACCTATCTTAAGGCTCTTAATTACCTCCTTAGATTTCTTTTTACTCTTTTCATCATGTTTTAGACATAACTATAATTCAATTGCACATTTATTTTATGAAAGATGCCAGGTTACCATTTATCCCCTCTACCTATTTTTTCAATGCATTTTTCCTCTAAAATATTTTTATATTGATTCGTAGCCATTGTTCTTGGCTCATTATAGTGTCTTTTTTGCTTCTAAAACTTTTTAATTAAAAAAAGAACATTTATTTATGTATTTATTTGGCTGCACCAGGTCTTAGTTGCAGCACACGGGATCTTCAACCTTTACTGCAGCATGCGAACTCTCAGTTGCAGCATACGGGATCTTGTTCCCCTACCAGGGCTTGAATCTGGGCCCCCTGCACTGGGAGCATGGAGTCTTAGCCACTGGACCACCAGGGAAGTCCCCGTGATTTTTAATAGAAGTTATAATTTCTTTTGTCTCCTAAGCAGTCCTTCTTAGACTTTATAGTTTACTTTTATTCAAAATTAAGAGGAAATACCAAAAGTTATCCAGGGTAAAAATAATTATATACATAGGAACAACAGTTCAACTGAACACAACTTTTCATAATCAGCAAAGGGTCTAGAAGCAATAAGCAATTTTCTTTAATGTGCCAAAGAGGGGACAGGCTGTCTTTCTAAAATTATGTATATTCAAGAATTCGTTTGAATGAATGAGAGAAAAGTAGGACTTTATTTATATGAAGATAAGATGGTATTACATACCTACAGATCCTCAGAGTATTAAAGTATATTAAAGTATACTTTAATATTAAAGTATATTCCCCAATAACAATAAAGGGTAACCTACAGGTAGATTGACACATAATTTGAAAAAATTATTTTGATTAGTTTTATAACCTATAGATTATAAAATGATTATTTTTGCATTTTAAAAGCAGACTTTAAATCTTTGAAAATGAGTAAACAGAGAAAGGGATATTAGATAGAAAAGTTAATATTAATATTCTTGATAAGAATTGAATTCTGAATCACTTGAAATTTGTTAGAGTACTTGATTAAATTTAGATACTATAAATTAATGGAAATCATTTTAAAAAGGTATGACATAAATTCTATGGATCCAAAAAAAAAAAATCTATGGATCCCCAAATTACAAGACAAATGAAAAGAAAGTAAAAGCATTATGAATCCACAGCAGGCAGAAGGAAGAAAAGGAGAAATAAAGGAGCAAATAATTTTATACTGAACAGAAAACACAATTTAAGCTGATATTAATAAATCTATGTATGTAAATTAAACATTATGCATAAATCGAAGACATTAAAAGATAGGTGAAGCTGAAGTTGCTCAGTCGTGTCCGACTCTTTGTGACCCCATGGACTGTAGCCTGCCAGACTCCTCTGCCCATGGGATTTTACAGGCAAGAATACTGGAATGGGTTGCCATTTCCTTCTCCATTAAAAGATAGAGTTAATCATAATAAAAGGAAAAAAGAAAATCAAGTTATAAAATCCTTTCAAGAGTCATACCTAAACTACCTAAACATAAATACAAACATACAGACTCTCTGTCACTCTCCTTGACTCCGTCTCTCTCTGTCTCTCTCACACACAGACCAAGGTTAAAGATGAAATAATCGAAAAAAATGTTTGAGCCATATAGAATCTGGTAGTTGCTATACTGAGATAACTTCAAAGCATTTATAGACTCACGGGAACTACTACAGAATAATAATGAAAAGGTAAATCCACCAGAAAGATAAAATTCAAAATCTATTCCCTACAAAGACTTAGCGAACATCAAATAGGAAGTAACATCTTTAATCTGAGAAAAATATCTCCAAAACTTACAGAAAAATTACATTTAATAGTAAAATAATAAAAACTTTTCTTATGAGCTAGAAAATAAACCTAATATGCTTCACCGAAAACACTTCTATTTAACATTGACTCATAACTAGTCAGCAACAGGCAAAAAGAAGAATGAAGGGCACATTAAAATGGAAAATACAAAATACCAATTGTGTATGAAGAAAAAACTATAGATGAACTGTTGAAATTAAGTGTAATTATAAAAATTCTGGATTCAGAGTCAATGCAAAAAGTGAAAATATATAGATGTTTAAAAATTGGAAAATTTGTAAAGATTCTAAACTTCTCCAAATTCATCTATACCTTTCAATGAAATCCAAATCAGAATTCTAGGAAATTTTCTTTATTTGTGGAAATCAATAATCTTATTCTAAATTTTGTATGCAAAAATGTCAAAGATCAAGGAGAGCCAAAAATATCTGAGAATAAAAAAAAATGAAATAAAAGGAATTTATTGATCATAATCATGTATATTGTCACCATGCTTATTTAACTTATATGCAGAGTACATCATGAGAAACACTGGTCTGGAAGAAGCACAAGCTGGAATCAAGATTGCTGGGAGAAATATCAATAACCTCAGATATGCAGATGACACCACCCTTATGGCAGAAAGTGAAGAAGAACTAAAGAGCCTCTTGATGAAAGTGAAGGAGGAGAGTGAAAACAGTTGGTTTAAAGCTGAGCATTCAGAAAACTAAGATCATGGTATCCGGTCCCATCACTTCATGGCAAATAGAGGGGGAATCAGTGGAAACAGTGGCTGACTTTATTTTTCTGGGCTCCAAAATCACTGCAGATGGTGACTGCAGCCATGAAATTAAAAGACGCTTACTCCTTGGAAGAAAAGTTATGACCAATCTAGACAGCATATTAAAAAGCAGAGACATTACTTTGTCAATAAAGGTCTGTCTCGTCAAGGCTATGGTTTTTCCAGTAGTCATGTATGGATGTGAGAGTTGGACTATAAAGAAAGCTGAGCTCTGAAGAATTGATGCTTTTGAACTGTGGTGTT